AGATACTTGATGAAATGGCCCTCTACCAATTTATAATAAATATTTGCTGGGAACTATTCTAGGTCTTGAAAATACATCAAGAAAATTGGACCACAACAGTCATTTTGGGGGGAGTTTACATTTTAGTAGTGAGAGGGATTTTAAATAAGGTTGCTTACATATTAGACTGGGCTGGAGCGATAGCACAGCGGGTAGGACGTGTGCCTTACATGCAGCCAACATGGCCGACCCAAGTTCGATTCCTCCGCCCTCCTCAGAGAGCCCGACAAGCTACCGAGAGTATCTTGCCCACACGGCAAAGCCTGGCAAACTACCCGTGACGTATTCCATATGCCAAACACAGTAACAAGTCTCACAATGTTACTGGACCCGGTCGAGCAAATCGATGAACAACAGGAGGACCATGAAAGTGACATATTAGACTAATGATTCTAGACTAAGAAGAAAAAAGGAGGGGTGGGAGAATGAGGATTAGGTCGGAAGTAAAATTTCTGACAGGGAAGGCCTCACTGGAAAGTTAGGGTACTTTTTTTTTAACTCTGAAACCAATAATTTCTCATGACACATATCATTGTGCTTGTGTATTTTATTTATAACTTGATTAAAAATAAAACATTTACAGATCAGAGGTGGAGAGATAGTATAGGAGGTCAGGCATTTGCCTTGAATGCAGCAACCCTGATTTGAATCCCTGGCACCACATGTTCCCCAGAGAACTACAAAGGGTCATTTCAGAACTCCAAGCAAGCAATTACCTCAAAGCACAGCCAGATATGACCTCCAAACAAACAAAAAAACAAACTCCACTTTCCAAAAATATACAGATCTTCAGAAAAGTTTAAAACTGAAGTACAGTAAATATTGCTTGGCTTCTGTTAATTGAACCTCTCATTTAAATTATATGGAATTTTTTATTTTAGCAAAAATAAGATTAAAAATTATAAATGATAATAAATAAATAAATAGTAACACTGGAGCAAGGGCCAGGAAAAAAAGAGATCCCTCAGGCCAATGTTTGGGGAAGAGTATTTGGAGAAAGGCAAGAGCAAAACCTTGAGTAAGAATAATCTTGTTTGTGGAAGATCAGGTACAGTGAAATGTAGAACAGCAAAAATAGAACCAAACTTTGGTTTTTGTTTGTTTGTTTTTTTATGTCACACCCAGGGATGCCCCTGTTTAGTGTTTTTTTAAGTATGTAGTTTGCATAAAATGGGGGGAGGGGGAAACAGTGGATTTGGAGCAAAGGAAAGTATCCTGACATATGTGGTTAAGATTATAGAAAAGGAGATGGTTGAAAGGTATATTTAATTTATTTATTTTGCTTTTGGAGTCATATCCAGCGATGCACAGGGGTTACTCCTGGCTCTGCACTCAGGAATTATCCCTGGCAGTGCTCAGGGGACCATATGGGATGCTGGGAATCGAACCCGGGTTGGCCACGTGCAAGGCCAACACCCTACCTGCCATGCTATTGCTCCAGCCCCGAAAGGTATATGTTAGCAATCAAGGTAACAGTGGCTTCTGAAATGAAAGAAACTAAAGGACCAAGGTAACAAAAAGGGAATTATGTGAACTGAGAATCTACGTATTTTGAAAATAGAGCAAACATGAGTTGATACAGAGTGTGATAAAAAATTAATGAAGACTCAAAGGATTATGGCATGAACTACTACAAGACTGATGCTTCTGTGAAGTGGTAAAATTGAGGACAGTAGGATTTAAAATGTGAATGCAGCTATGGAGATGTACACAAATTCAAAATTGAACATGTTAAATTTAAGATGCTTCTGGGGCCGGAGTGATAGTACACTGGGTAAGGCATTTGCTTTGCACTCGGCCGACCCAGGTTCAATCCTCGGCAACCCATATGGTCCCCCAAACACTGCCAGGAGTAATTCCTGAGTGCAGAGCCAGGAGTAACCCCACCGAGTGTGACCCAAAAAGAAAAAAAAAAGTAAGATGCATCTCATTTGCCCTTAACTTTGACAACGTCTCTCAAACCTAAAAGATGCTCTCATTCATTGTAACTATTGGAAGCCAGGTCATTATGGTTAAAAAGGAAAGATCCTTGGAGGTCATTACAGAAACAATGCTCTGGAAATGGATGACTGTTTAACCATGTTATCTTAAAATTTTGCAAGCAATAGGATGAATAAACCAAGACTAAACCCCTCCTGTCCTTCACATAACCATAAACTTCTGTTCTCAATTAGCCTTATATAACCCTAGCCCCAACTTGAAAGTAAGATGAGTATTTTGAGAACAAGAAGTTCACCCTCCTTTCAGATTGCTAGTACCTGAATAAAACTTTTGGCATCAACCCATATTAAGTGATTGGCATTTAAGCATCAAGCACCTGAAACCTGAGTTCAGTAGAATACTGTATTCTAGAGACTAAAGGAAGAAAATGTTTCAAGGAAGAGATGAAATGTGAGGGAGGGGATCATAGACAATTATGTCTATCAGGTGTTGGAGTTCTCCCTGGCACAACCCTTTAGCCACTAGAGGTTGCTGGGCCTTTAGGGAATGCCTCAGGTCCCGACTTCTCTGGGGACCAGACTGTTGCCAGGGAAACCTGACATTTTCAAAGATTAACATGGACTAATTGGCTTCAATTGCTTAGGTGTGAGCAATACTTCAACCTTGCCTTGCCTTATAGTATCAAGGACAGCGCTCTAGCTGTTACTTCTAGCCATAACCCCTTGCTTCCCTCTGCCACCTGTTCACTGGTGCACAGACATATTCCTCCAACCTCTACTTAATCATTGCCTCTCTAATAAACTTTGTCATATGGCACCTAATAAACTTTGTCATGTTGTATGAGTCTATTTCCCATCTGGATGGCTTTGTCTCAGCCATGCTTCACGAGTTTTTGAGCATCAGTTGTGCCTGACTTGAGGAACAGCCCTCCATTTTCTGGGCTTCAGTAAGTTAGTGGATAACTACAAATCAGGGATCATTTTTGGTATTCACAACTTGGAGAGGGAATGTGTGTTAGAGGTCTGTACTTGTAGAGGCCAGAATCAGGACTAATTATGCTAAAATTGGACAGAGCACTACTTCAAAAAGTCCAGAGGAGCTGGAGAGATAATATAGGGGGTGGAGAGATAATATACTGTGTGCCACTGATCTATGTTTGACCGGGCACCCCACATGGTCCCCGGAGTCCACCAGGAGTAATCTCTGAGCACTGCCAGGTGTGCTGCCATTCCTGCACACCTTCTCCCCTAAAAATAAAAGCCAATCAAGGCCTTCAAAACAACCTAGTAGGTTGAAGCATGTGGTTTTTTTTTTTTTTTGGTTCACACCCAGTGATGCCTCAGGGGTTTCTCCTGGCTCTGCACTCAGAATTACTCCTGATGGTGCCCAGGGGACCAAATGGGATGCCAAAGATCAAACCTGGGTCAGCCATGTGCAAAGCAAATGCCCTACCCACTGTACCATCACCCCGGCCCCTGAAGCAAATGGTTTTCATGCAAGAAATCCACCAGGTTCATCCTCAGCCCCTTACAGTTTTTGGAGCCCCATAAGGAGCAACAGAACCAGGTAGACCCTGAGCACTGCTGGAACGTGGTCCCAAAACGCACAAAAAAGCCAACAGTGAGAAGCTTAAAAAGCTAGAGGTAGAAATTATTCAACTCAGAAGTTTAAAGTTCAGTCAAGTAACTGAAATGTACTTTACACTTGAGATTTAAGATTACCTGGGTTCAAATTCCCACATTTGACTAAGAATGAATTTGAGTAATCTGAATAACCCGTCTTAGTTCCTCAATCTTTTTTAAAAACTAACTTTTCTAATACACATAACTCAAGATGTTATCATTTATCTTGGTTTGCAGGCTACACCCACTGGTGCTGGAGTGGGGGTACTATTTCTAGTTTAGTGCTTGTCAGTGCTCAGGAGACTTGCCCTAGGAATCTTGCGTACAAAAGTACTGGGTAGGATTGGGCAGAGTTTAACCTCTGGTTACATCCACCTCTCTACCTGGCAAAATATGCTTCCCATCTTATAAACATTTAGACTAATACAGTAAAATACAAAATTGTCACTAATTCCTCAAAAGTTTCTATAATGTGGTAACTTTCAAACATATACATACACCTATATGAAAACTTAGTATGAGATATAGTTAATTCAATTGTCAATTGCTGACATGTTAGCATGAATATGTTCTCCTTACTGGATCATTTGAGAATCAGAGTTTGAACTATGTAACAAGTTCTACAATTATACAATGAACATTTTCAGCTGAATTCCAATTCCACAGCCCATTAAAAAAAATTAACACATTTCCCCATCTTTAAATGGAGATCTCTCCATTCTGTCTATATACATATGTAAATACAGAGAGAAAAAAACTCATCAGAAGTTCTCAAGTTCATTCATTGCTACTACTTTCATGGTTATAAAACGACTGACTCAGATGCAACTTTGATCTTCAGTCCACAAATGATAATCTTGAAAATCCTAGCAAAAAAAAAGCAATAGTTAAAATACAAAAAAAAAAAACCCCAAAGCTATATAGGTGCTTAAGAGATACTTCGCAGGTAGAACACATGCCTTGCATGTGGCCAATCTGGGTTTAACCTCTGAGTACTCCATAAGGTCCCCTGACCCTCTAGAAATGATCCTAGAAATGACCCTTAAGCTCAGTGTCATGATTAAGCCTTATGCAAGCTGGGTGTGGTCCAAAAGCCGGCCCTCCACCCCAAACACACAAAAACTTAGCCAGTAATAAAGTCAGTCCTTGTTTCTTCAATGCCAGAGAAGCAGTTAATATTTTCCCTGATTTACTGCTATATATTTCAATTTCAATTATAAAATATGCTGGCCCAAGATTTTGTGTTGTTAGAGCAACTTAAGTCTTATTTTCAATACAAACAGAGATTTTTAAAATTCCTTAAGTTCTAGTGATTTATTTCCTATTCACTTTTGAATGATTGAATGTTTAGCATTGATTTCCTAGCTTTAAATAATGACACATACTATGTTTCATATATTTATTAATCATTGTAATCCCCAACATAATACATCAACATGTTTACATGCATTTAGAGGGGAAGTATTTCCTAGTTCAGTGAAAAATTGTGCGATGGCTTCTGGAAGACCTTCATTTTAAGCAGCTTTACAAGTGAAACATTTTGTTTAGAAGTCTGGACCTTCTTTCTTCAGTTTGCTGTAATCAACATTCACTGCAAAAAACTTGGAAAAGAAAAAAAAAGATATTTTAGATAATCAAATAAGCAGATAGTACAGAAGATTTGAGTATTTTTTTATTCTACTGTAATAATTACAAATATCAAGAATGCTAAAAGGTCCTTCGAAGATATTAGAATTCCAGTCCTGTGATAACAATTCTGAGGAAGTGAAATACTGGATCTACAACCCTGGAACAAGAAGTTCATTGGTATAATCTGTTAGTAGAATCAATTAAAACACTTGTCTTAATGTGAATAATTAACTTTTCCTTCTCATCTCTACTAAATGCAGTAGTCGGGGCTGAAGCATGGCCGGTAGGGTGTTTGCCTTGCATGCAGTGGACCTGGGTTCAATTCCCTGCATCCTATGTGGTCCCCCGAGCACGGCCAGGAGTAATTCCTGAGTGTAAAGAGTAAAGCCAAGAGTAATCCCTGAGCATCCCGGGGTGTGACCCCCCCCCCCAAAAAAAAAGCAGGGGGGAAAAAAAGCACAGGTTAATCTCCAACAACAACAAAAATCATCCATATCGAGTTAAAAAAGTATCATAATTCAGATGAAAGATTCAAGCAAATAAAAAGCCCATGTTTTATTGTGTTTTATGCTAACTTTTTAGACAAATTGGCTTTCTATTTTTCTGTCTCTCTCATTTGAAAGTTTAATTTTCTAAAAAAAGAATGCATCAATATGAAATGAAACTGACTTTTGGCCACCTCTAGTAAAAAGGCTTTAAACAATATTGTATTTTAATTTAAACTAATACTTTAAATGAGGTATATATCTGAAAAATTCTTTCCAAAATTGTCCTTATATGTAATTAAATTTCATAAGGAATCTAAAACTCCTCCCCAAAACTCATAATTTTCAAAAAAAATTTAATTTCTAAGTGCTCCAACTTTTACTTATATACTTGCATTTAATAACAAATAAAATTATCATGTTGGAAGGGTCTGCTCATTCCGTGTTAAAAGAACACTTAAAAGATTGTATTCTAGTTATATTTAACTCAACCCCCCCCCCCACATCCCACTAAAACCCAAACCAAAAAAAACCACCAAACTGCAAAATCACCAACAATGTGTTCAGTTTTTAGGTAAGAAGCTAATCTGTATCCAGTAAGTTTCATCTAATTTGTTTTTTCTTTTTGGATCATACTAGTTGATGCTCAGGGGTTTCTTCTGGCTCTGCACTCATTAATTAATTACTCTCAATGTTGCTCCAGAGTCCATATGGGATGCTGAGGGCCAAACCCTGGTCACGTGCAATACAAACATTCTACCTGCTGTATTACAGCTCTGGTCCCCAAGTTTAATCATAAAAATAAAATTTATTTTAATTGAAAAATTCTTAACTTTTCTATTGGGGAAGGTTGCCTCTCAATCAGTGCTCAGCAGGTCAGGCCCTCAGATGCAGTGCTGCTCAGGCCCTGAAAGGCTGGGGATTAACCAGGGTGGTGCTGGGGAGCTTCCAGAACCACATCAGCAGTGCCCACTGATGCACGGGAAAACTATGTAGTAGCAGTGATTAACTGTAGCCCACCAAAGGAAAGTTAGGTGCCTTAACTCTTGAACTATTTCTCAAGCTCCTTGACTTCACTTTGAAAAGTTCTAGAGGTAAGCAACAGTTCAAAGCGCTTTGTATTGAAGTTCTGGTCACCTGAGCACTGCTGGATGGTGCCAGCTAAAAAGAAAGGTTCTGTATCAACTTTATCCTTAAAATACATAAACATGGGCTTTATGAAACTGAACCAAAAAAACTTTAAAAAAGAAACGGTGCTATGCCTAACATATTAAACATTAAAGAATAGGTATAAAAGGAACTGCAGATTATATATTAAAAAGAAAACAAACATTTGCCTGATAATAATAAATGTCAGGCACTATGGGGCAGAATGCTTTGTTTATTTAAGTCGATTATTACAACCTTACTCATCCTAACTTCATAAAAGAAGAATCTGCAAGATCAAGTTAAATAATGTAAATATCATCTTCCTTGAAGGTATCTGGAAAGGTACAATTGGGAAGTTGGGATGGCACAATATATTAGGATCTTTTGGCTTTGGGAAAATGTTATGCAGTTCCAGAGTCTCTTTTGCTTAGATTCTACTTTGATTCCTTCTTTTAGTTTTGCTAATTATAAAGGAGTAAAAACTCCCAAATTTTAATAGCTTCCAACAATGAAGAATGTACAATGACTGCTCCATATTCACTTTATGCAGACCTTCACTGTTAATTTTGGTCTCACAATAATTAAAAAAAAAAAAGTACAGGGGGTACTTCCCTTGCATGTGGCCCACTGGGTTCAATCTAGATACCCCACAGGGTCTCCTCAACACTGCTAGAAGTGATCCCTGAGTGCAGAGCCAGGAGTAAATACTAAGCACCACCAATGGTATGACTTCAACACACACACACACACACACACACACACACACACACACACACATATACACCAGAGAAGTAAGTACACACAGGTTCTGAAGTGACAAAATGTTCCCTCACTTATGATTTGCTAAAGTGAATCAAATAATCTGAAGTCAATGTGCCAGGAAAGTTATTTTCTGTGAGGCACAGTGAACAGTAAGAGTAACTTAACCTACTTCACTGTTGGATTTAGATGCAGTAGCAGGCTTCACATAATCTATAGCTCCAAATTTCTGGGCTTGATTCTCACTACTTCTATTAGCAAATCACCAATATTTTACATAATAGTTTATTTTCTAAAATCTCTTCTATAACAAGTTCTTCAGTCAGAGTCTATCTTCCATACTAAAGGACTAACATCTACGAAAATATTTTGCATTCAGAACTTTACTCTCCCTTCATTTCCCACCACCCCCTCTTTTTTCTTTCAATTTTATTGGATGTAGAATCAATTATCTCCAGAATGAACTTGCTTTAAACAAATTTTTGAGAAAAAGAAATCAGGATACAGTGTTTACCAATTTTTGAATACAAAATATAACATCAGATAGCTCATTTAAATTTCACCAACAAATTTTTATTTACTTCCTATCCTAAAAGTTGTTGACATCAGTAATGATTGCATGCATCTCTATCATGGGTTAGATCTACTGCCAGTGTCCCAGACATTCACTGACAAGGGCCCATATTAGAGAGCCTAAGCAAACCATTTTCCTTTTGAAGAAATAACCAAGTGTAGTGAAAAGTATAGGCAGGAGAGTCATACACAGTAAATGAGTAAACTGTATGAGATGGGATTTAAAAACGTGAGATCTAAAAAGATGAGATCCTTAAAAACTTACCCCTTTTGACAATGAGAAGGTTTACCATTTTTATATGGAAATAAAATTGATAGAGGGAGGTTATTTAAGAGGTATCAATAAATGATCTCGTATTTGCAACGACTGGACCTTGAGGACATTGTATTAAATGGGCTAACTCAAATGGAGAGAGATTAAAAAAAAAGTATTATGTCACTTGTGGAATAACAAGTCAGACTTACAAAAAGAGTAATGATGATTAGGGGCTGGGAAGCAAGGGAACAGTAAACAGGTTTAATTATGGGTACAAATTTACAACTAGCAGGTATTTTGGAAATCTAATATATACCATAGAGGATATCATCAATACTGTATTATAAAATTCAAAGATGCTATAGAACAAATTGAAAATTGTTTTCAACACAAACTTAAAAAACAACCATATGACACAATGAAGTTCTGATCTTAAAAAATAAGAGTCAGAGGGGCTGGAGCGATAGTAAAGCGGGTACGGTGTTTGCCTTGCACGCGGCAGACCCAGGTTCAATTTCTAGCATCCTATATGGTCCCCCAAGCACCACCAGGAGTTAATACCTGAGTGCGAAGTCAGGAGTAGCTCCTAGGCATCACCGGGTTTGACCCCAAAAAAGCAAAAAAATAAAATAAAATAAAAGTTGGGACTGGAGAGATGTACAGTGGATAGGGCATTTGCCTTGTACACGGCAGACCTGGGTTCGATCCCTAGCATCCCATACGGTCCCCTGAGCACCGCCAGGAGTAATTCCTGAGTGCAGAACCAGGAGTAACCCCTGAGCATCGCTGGGTTTTGGGTGTGGCCCAAAAAAGCAAAAAACAATTTAAAAAATAAAAAAATAAATAAAAGTTATACTATTGTAATCACCCTGAAAAATATATCAAAGTGGCACGGTATATGTCAATCACATTCCAATAAAGCAGATAAAAATATAAATAGTTTCAATCCAAAAAAACTCCTTGGAAGAGTACTTCTACAATCCGCTCTTTGAGAAAAGATATTAAAAAGTTTACCAAGGGGTCAGAGAGCTCAACAGGTTGAAGTGCATACTTCCCAAGTGGAAGGCCCATTGGTACAAGCTCTTGTAAGCTGAGATAGTCAGGAATCTAGCTCAGTGGAACAACCCATACCTCAGATTTGTATAAGGCTTTGGATTCAACTTCCAATAAAGACTTTTGAAATTTTTATAGACAACTCATAGTAAAAGTCTAAGTTTTAAATGATTTTCATTTATGCCTTTAGAATAGCCAATAAGTCATGTCTAGTCATGCACTAGATTAGTACTATTCAGATAGAGGTCCATGAATCAGAGGTATTGGTATCACATGAAACAGGGTTAGAAAATCCAAGTTTGTTTCCATAACAGAGCAATTCAATCAGAATCTCTGCTGGGTGGAGGTGAAAGTGCTTTAATCTGTCCCAGATGTTTTCTATAAACAATTAGGCCACTACACTGTGAAAACAAAATCCTTAGGGAAAAAATACTGGGGAAAGAAGCCACTTAATCAAAATTATATTCATAATATAGTTATAAGAAATTTTTACTTGTAAAATCAATACCAAAAAACCCTACTCCATGACAAAACCTATAAAATACACTTGCAGTGGTAACTTACCTTGTATTGATCATTTGGACCCAGTTTGTTCCAGGGCTCTGGGTTATTCTTTCTGTCCCAACTACAAGAAACAGAACATTAATAGTTTTTGAAGACCTTTTCTACTTTTTAAAATATATTTTCAATAGATCTAACTTTTTATGAAGTGAAATAGAATGTTTTTTCTTTATGGAAGTGGAAAAAAAATCATCTGTAGTACACAAACCCATGTAATCAAATAGAGATAAGATTAAAAAAAAAGCCTTCTGGGAAAATTCTCCTTGTCCCTATCCCTCTCACAAGAAGCTTAATATATGACTTTAGTTATAAAAGTTTTATATTTTATCGATATGTAAGAAAGTAAACAATAACGAATTCATCTTTCCTATGCATATGTTCTGATAATATAAGTTGACGCAGAAATTTAAATAACTTTAAAAAACAGGAAAAGCCAATGAGAATAGAACTGAGATTTGGACTTAACAGAAAAGTACACAACTCAAGTTTCTTTTTATTTTTCCTGGAACTGAGGTTTTCTTTCTTAAAAAGACTGTGGATCTGACAAAGAGCTTGATAAACCATCAACAACCTCGACGTTATTAAGTTACTTACCTGACATCAGGATTGAACAAGGCCAGGCGGGTGACATACAGCGCTGCGCCGGTACCTCCAGCTCCAATAAAGACGAAGAGGGGAATCAACTACAAGCAAAGTAGACAAGAATGAAGAGTCATCTTTAAACGCTAAGAGTCTACAGAAATACATGACACCTTCGCCCAATATTTAGATACCATCCCCATAAAATGTGAGATCTTCTTGTGTCTTAAGGACCTGCATAAACAAACTTTTGACAAATTCCTTTCGGTTGCATCGATACAGATATGATGGAAAGCCGATTCTGTCCAATAAGTAACCTGATCTAAACGCGCAAAAAAACAAGAAACAAGCACACTTTAACTGAGGCTATCAGTTCTAGGTAGAAGTCTGAAATTCCATCGCTACCAGACTCGATAGGCAGACCGTGTGACTAAGCTTTAGGAGTCCAGAATGCTGGTGCACCTGGGGGCAAAGCGAGTCACGGTATTTTTATTTATACATGAACTAGCGTATATGCTCCCCGGGAGTGCCAAGATGCCATCACATGCTGGAAATTGATTGCAAGATCACCGAGCCTCCAGCATTAGCCCCAAGGCCCGGCGGCGCATTGTTTTGACTTGATCCTTGACAGAAAGCACAAGCACAACCACAACGCAACGCTCGACTTTTGTGGGTCTCTAACCCAAGCAGGGCGTCCAGTGTTCCAGCATTCCCTGGATTACTTTCGGGCCACACCAGCTTCCAGAATACCTCGAGTGGAAGGTGGGCGCTGAAGGGCCTTGGGGTGTCGACCAGAAGGCTTGGGTCCCAGCCCTTGCAAGGCGGCTGCGGAGAAGGAAATACCCAAGTGCAGCAGTCCCGGCACAGGAGGGCCAGGACCCCGGGGGAAGGGGTCAGGAAGGTCATGAACTTACGCTCGGATGCTTCTTAGCCTGGCTGAAAATCATGCGCAGCATGGTTGCGGCAGAGGCCTCAAACCGGGGAGGAGGAGAAGGGCAAAAGCGCAAGGCCTGGGTTAAGTACGACCTGCACCGAAACTGTGCGGACGACCAAAGTCACTCAGGACCTCCTACCTGAAGGACCCCTGGCTCGGAGGGCACCCTGCGGCAGGAGGACCCGGATGCAGCTGTCTTTCCTACTGCCTGATTTATTCCAGCGCCTCGTGAGCGTGCCCTCCCCTGACCCGGCTATCAACATTCTGGTCTCTAGAGAAACACTCTCTTTCTTGTTCTCTGTGTGCTCCAGAGGGGTCAAAGTTGCGTCGAAAGTAGAACTATTCTCCCGACCAGACAGGCACTTTCTTGGGCGGCCTCGCATTGAGGCTTGGGTCAGGCTGGAGTCGGGACGGCGGCGCGCCTTCCCCCCCTGCGCGGCGCCCGCGGGTCGGGTCCAGGCGCCGAGACCCAGGGGGCACGCGTGCTGGGCGCGCGCCGGCCGGTGCTGGCGGCCGCTGAGGGACCTGAGCGGCGCCTGCGACTGCAGCGCGCCGGGCGCCTGGAGGCGGGTCAAGGCTCTGGCGACTGAGGTCAAGCGACTGCGGTTTAGGGCTACAGCTGCTTCCTGGCTTAGACTGTCCTTGTAGGCAGAAGTTAAAACCTAGTGAATGACTTCAAAACTGCAATGTTTCTGGTCATGTCATCTCCAGACCCGGAGTTCCTGAGTCCTTGTTGTCTGTTCAATGCCACAAGGACCATTATTCCGTGCCCACTCGCACTTTTCCCGGGACCCTAAATTGCATTCTTTAAACGTGATTTCTCAGGTCGGAAAGAGCCCTACACATTGTAATCTATTGCCCAATACAGTTTTCCTTTTCCTTTCTATTTAACCTTCCCCTCACTTCCTCCCCTCCCACCCCCCAATTTCCCTGCCTTTCCTCTACCCTAAAATAATTTCGTTTTCTTTTCTCTTTTTCAATCCCAAATTTTTCCTTGGGACTGGTTTTATGGAGCATTAGTGACAATTTGAACCCTGCCGGACCTCTTTCTTAAAGCATTAATCAGATGCTCACCCAAGGTATTGGGGCTGTGAAGAGGAAAAGGCACCTTTGATCAACCTTAGACTTGAAGAAGTGGGCATTAAGCAAGTGAACATGAAGAACATAGTACAAGGTTAGCAAATAATAGTCTCAACTAGAGAGACTCTTGGAGGAGAGGAAGGATGTCTGCCGTGATTAGAATTGGAGTGTAAGAGTGTGAGCAAGTTGGGTTTATTGAGTTACTGAGTTTTAGGCTACCAGTACCAGGAAGTGGAGCAAAAACAAGCACTATAACTCCAAAATGAGTGTCTTGTCTATGAAGAATGGATCACTGGAGGGAAATATGAATAGGAAGTAAGGGACCTTATCCATATAAGTAATCAGGGTAATATTGGGAATGTGATAATGAAAGGATTTAGGAGGTCACACCAATGGGACTTGGCAACAATTAATTATGAATGAGTCACAGATAAATAATGTTGGAGATGGGGCTTGGTCCAGCTGTGTAGATATATTGATGTCAATTATTAAGAAACAAGAATGGTAGATACATGGAAGAGATATTTGTGTGAAATCAAAGGGAATGTACATATGTAAGGCAGAGGAGATCTAGAATGTAAGACTATACTTAGGATTAAGTTTATTGGTGGTAAAGAAAAGCCATATCGCTCAGGGAGAAAAGTTAGATAGAGCAGAGAAACGAAGGACAGAAAGCTGAAGAATTGTGACTTACAGGGCTTGAGAGAGGAGATAGAGCCATTGGAGTCGGTGGGGGAAAGGATAGTGAGTGAGGAGATAGCCTTATGACTGGAGAGGAATATGCCTTGCATGTAGAAAGTCTTGTTTTCTTTGAACACTGCAGGCCTCCCTATTTCCACTTCCTCTCTCCCTTTTTCCTCCACTTCTCTTCCCGCTTCCTGCACTGATGAGTGTCATTCTGATTCCCACCATACTACAACACCACAACTAAGTCCACAATTCTGTAACCCCTGGAAAATACTACAGTGTTCCTGAGCACCATAACTTAAGTATACTACCCTCTGAAAGCACCACAATCAGAATAGGTAGGTAGGCCAGGTGTGACTAGCACAACTTTAAAAGGATAGATGTTGATTGTAAAGATAATATGCAGTTTATTAAAAATGACTATCTTTTAAAATTAATTTTGTGATCATTTCTTAACTACTCTGTACCAAGTACTATTCAAACTATGTGTATAAGAGAGAAAATTTTTTAGTTCTAATAGAGCCTGCATATCACTGGAGAACAAATACTATATAAACTCTGTTAGCTTACATGTCTAATATAACTTGCATATATATATTTGTGGGTCATATCCAGGTTTGGGGGTCATACCTGGATGTGCTCAGGGCTTATTGTGGCTCTGCCTTAGGGATCACTCCTGACTGTGCCCTGGGAATCGTGGGGAGTGCCGTGTTGGCCACTTTCAAGATAAACACACCACTGTATTATACCTCCATCTCCTACTATAGCATGCATATTGAAAGTTAAATAGTGGCACACTAATATAGAAGAGTAAGAGAGAGAAAAGGGCATGATGAAAAAAGGAAATGAGATTACTTCAGTGAAGTCGTTGAAGGTCTCTGAGAAGCAATATTTAAGGTGAAACATAAAAGAAATAAGTTATCTGGCTAACAGCCAGTTGAGTCAATGAACATTGCAATTGTTAGGAAAAATGGTTACTATTTAATTATATATATATATGATTATAGGAACCAGGAGAGAAGGAAATATGATCAGAGAGGTTGTAAACATCTTTCTGACATTGACCAGATAGACAATGGTAAGGAATATGATCATGTTTTTGTTTTTTATATTTTATAAGTTATTTCAAAACAGATTAAAGACCTCAATATCACACCTCAATCCATAAAGTATATTGAGGAAAGTATAATCAAAATCCTTTATAACATTGAATCTAGAGGTATCTTCAACTATTCAATGCCATTGGCCAAGCAAATAGCAGCAAAGATAAGTAAATGGGACTACATAAAATTAATAAGCTTCTGCAGGACAAAATAAATTCTGACCAGAATAAAAGGATACCTTACAGACTGGGAGATAATATTTGCCTACCACTCTCCTGACAAAGGATTAATATCAAAGATATGAAGAAAACCAATATTGCAAATTCATTAACCAGAATGAAAATGAACAGATGAAGATATATTGATGGCCAAAATTATATAAAAAAAATCCTATTCATCACTTATCAGGGAAATGTAAGTCAATATAACAATGAGTCATCACCTCACATTTTAAGGTGAGAATGGAACACATCAAGAAGAACAAAAGCAAGCAGTTTTAATATGGATGCTTGGTTAAAAAAAAAAAAGGACATCTCATCCACTGCTGCTGGCAATGTTGACTGGTTTAATTGTTTGGGGAAACAATAAGGGAACTTCTCTAAAAACTAGAAATTGAGCTTCTCTATAACCTAGTAATTCAACTCTTGGCCATCTACCCCAGAGACCCAAAAACTGATCAGAGAAGACACACTTCTATATTTATTGAAGCAGTATTCATGATAGCTAAAATTCTGAACACTTGGAAAAAACCAACATCTCTCTCTCTCTCTCTCTCTCTCTCTCTCTCTCTCTCTCTCTCTCTCTCTCTGTGTGTGTGTGTGTGTCTCTTCTCTCTTTTTACATATAGTATGTATGTGTGGTGGAATACTACTTGGCTATAAAAAAAGACAAAATTATGTATTTTCTATTACATGGATAGTATACGCTGAGTAAAGTCAGCCAGATATTCTTATATGTGGAATATAAAGAAGCATAGTCACAGCATTAAAAAAGGTCCAAAGACATAGAAAGATTGCATTCATCATCTGGGGAACATAAAGTAACAAAATAGGAAACTAACACCCAAGAATGGCCGAGATTAGTACCAAGAATTTTACTCCATGACTTGGAGGCCAACCACACATACTAGGGGAAAAGGGAGCACAGATAAAGAGGGGAACACCAAATAAAGGTGTTGGGAGGATCCTCCCAGGATAGGAGAAGCATGCTGAAAGTAGACTATAGATCAAACATGATTGCCACTCAATGTTTCTTTTGCAAGCCACAACACCCAAAAGGAGAGAGAGAACAGAGGGGAATGCCCTGCCACAAACGCAGGGTGGGATGGGGGGGATGAGGGGTGGGAGGGATACTGGGATCCGTGGTGGTGGGAAATGGGCACCGGTGGAGGGTTGGGTATTTGATCATTGTATAATTGAAACCCAAGCACAAAAATGTGTAAGTCTGCAACTGTACCTCATGATGTGTCACTATTAAAAACTTTTTTTAATTAAAAAAAAGGTCAAAAGAAACAGAACCTAAGAACTGTTCCACAGAATTGAGTTTATCATGACAGTGAAATGTGGGGAGCTGAAAGTGGGGGAAGGGTAGATGATTGGAAATGGAGCTTAGCAAAGAAATAGGTAGAGTAAGTGGGGGAGACTCAGAGACAACGGTGGAGGGAAACAGACAATCTGGTGAAGTGCAGTTATTGATAATATTATAAACTTGTAAATTAGCATGATTAAAAATTTAAAACTTTAAAATATGAACATGTTTTTAAACCAGCACCAAAAAAACATGAAAAATATTTTAATGTGAACACAGAAATCAAACAACAGTAATTAGATAGCTTTCAGCAAAGATATAAGAGAAAATCTCTCCTTGTAGTGTTTTATTTTTACAGCAGTTCATAATACAATAACTAAATAGGTTAACTGGAATGCCACCAGTAATAAGAATATAAAATATTATTTAAAGTGGCTTAGTGACCTAGTTTCTAGAGCTAACAGTAATGTAGGTGGTTAAATGATGCCTTTGAAAAGATTAACAGAAATTATAGAAAATAAAATTTATTAAATACTAATTTATTTAAATTATAAAAATTTAAACTTTTATCTTTTTTTTCTTTCTAGTTCACACCCGGCAATGCACAGGAGTTACTCCTGGTTCATGCACTCAGGAATTACTCCTGGCAGTACTCGGGGGACCATATGGGATGCTGGGAATCAAACCTGTGTTGGCCGCGTGCAAGGCAAACTCCCTACCCACTGTGCTATTGCTCCAGCCCCAAACTTCTATCTTT